ATTCATCAATTCCAATACAATTAATATTATAAAATTCTTATATTACCCCAATCATATTTACTACCTATAATCATACTCTAACATCATACATCCATTTTTATTGCCGTTAACCATAAGTAAAATTTGCATTTATTTCAAGTTCTAGAATAAATTTTCTTTAAATTAAATGTATTTATTTTGTAAACGGATAATACACTAGAGTATGATCCGATTGGTTACGTAATTCAACGAAAGACTCGGATCACAGTTTCGGAATAATTTCATACAAACTTTCGTTTGTTTTTTAACAAGAAAACACACATATTTTGTATTGTAGTTTGGTCATTCTCTGATTGACTGATCGCACCGAAACTGGTTTCGCGTGTACTACTTTTTAACAATATTGTTGGAGAAGAGTGTTCTATTCATGCCAATAAATGCCATCTTGAATTTGATTCCTTGAATATGATGTTTTATCATGAAATATAACATACAAGAATTGAAATTGATTTTGTTACAAATAATTTTTTGTTGTAGTAATCGATTTTAAAATCGCATTCCGTCTAATAACATAGTTTTTTTTTTATATTGATTCGTTACAATATTGATTTCATGACCAAAAGTTAAAAACATGATATTTTGATAAAGAAAAAACGAATTAACATGTTTAAAATTTTCAAACATGTAAATCTGTAAAATATGGGCGCCCTATGGTTTGACATGGTTTATTGAAGATCATTGTTCCGAAGACTTGTCTCTAAATGTTCTCCAAACTGAAGACATATGAATGAGGGTTCTATATGATTTTAACGTTGAAACCCCAAACCATAATGAGTTTCTTTTTTAATATAATAATGTTTCACTCTATAAGTATTTTATTATAATCGAAAGTGGGTCGATTTGAAGCTTCATTAAAACAAAATATTAGTTGATTTAGCCAATGAGATCAACGCACAAAATATATCATTATGTTAGTGGAGATTTTATACAAGAGTATTGATTATTACTTGTCAAAATAAAGAAGGATCTCTTATTAGTTTATAACTATTTGATTACAACACAATTATCTAGACGACAAATACATACAACATAAAATCTCCATAACTATCATTAGAATCAAGTTGTGAAGTGTCGGTGACCACTATTCGGTTTTTGTTGTCTGCTTAACTCTTCTATCTTGATGTACACGTATTTCTTATAACCAACCATTCAGTATTACGAATTAATATTAGCAATAATTCTGTAAGTTTCATGAGTAACAACTAAAAAGATTTATATTAATCAACGGTACATGTGTCGTGTGACGCAATTATATTCACTTCCAAGTTCTAATCACACTAATCTAGTTTTTATAATTGTATATTAAGAAGGAAAAAAGCAATGGTTATAGTATTATGTCTGCCATTTTCGAATTTTTATTCATGTCCAAATTTGTTAATGTCTTCCACAAAATCAACCCAACATTTTATACCCCACTATCGTTGCTGAACATGCATACATGCCACGTATCCATTTTCTTCACTCTATACATAATTTTGTTTTCTTGTTTAGGTATTAACTCTATATATAACATATGCTTTGCGTGTATGAAATAAAAACTATATACTATAATTTGCATATTACAAATAAAAAATGTTGACCAGAATGTCTCTCCCTATCCCGCCTAAATTTCTGCCACCGCTAAATTCTCCACCGAATCATCACCACCAAGCACCGCCACCGCTTGCACCGCCACGAGCAGCCATATCAATATCTATACCGGAAACCGGTTTAGGACGTACCGGAACCATCCACGACGAGTCTACATCGTCAGCTTTTCGTGATTACCAATCTTTATTCATGTCACAACGTTCCGAGACAATCGAACCGGTCGTGATCAAACCAATCGAAGGTTCAATACCGGTTGATTTCCCTTCCGGTACGTATTACTTAGCCGGTCCAGGACTTTTCACAGACGACCATGGTTCAACGGTCCATCCTTTAGACGGTCACGGTTATCTCCGTGCGTTTCACGTCGACGGTAACAAAAGGAAAGCAACGTTCACGGCTAAGTACGTTCAAACGGAAGCTAAAGAAGAAGAGCACGATCCAGTGACTGACACGTGGAGGTTTACTCATAGAGGTCCATTCTCGGTTTTAAAAGGTGGTAAGAAATTTGGAAACACTAAGGTTATGAAAAACGTGGCTAATACTAGCGTTTTGAAATGGGCGGGGCGGTTGCTTTGTTTATGGGAAGGTGGTGAACCTTATGAGATTGAATCTGGATCGTTGGATACAGTCGGGAGATTTAACGTCGAGATCAACGGTTGTA